TACATGTCTGTACCATGTGGTTGCCTGCTGCTCATTGCCTGCTGTGTGGCCAGAAGAAGGCATCACTGATCCCGGGCACTGGAGTAACAGGCAGTTGTGAGCCATCTTGTAGATGCTGGGAATCAAGCCCAGGTTCTCTGGAAGAGCAGCTAGTACTCTTAACCACTGAGCCATCTCTCCGGCTGTGCCGCCCTTTCCCCCAGCCTGCCCCTTTAAGTTTTCTTTTAACACTTTGAAATCATGAAACTGAATCTGTACCTTTTAATTATTATTTGGTTTTTTGAGACAAGGTTTCTCTAGTTAGCCCTGGCTGCCCTGGAACTCGCTCTGTAGACCAGGCTGGCCTGGAACTCACAGATCTATTTTTTTAATAACTTATTTATTTTTATTTTAGGTGCATTATATGTGTGAGGGTGTCAGATCTTGGGGCTAGAGAGATGGCTCAGCAGTTAAGAGCACTGGTTGCTCTTCCAAAGGACCAGGGTTCAATTCCCAGCACCCACATGGCAGCTCACAACTGTCTCTAACCCCAAGATCTGACACCCTCACACATATAATGCACCTAAAATAAAAATAAATAAGTTATTTTTTAAAAAAGACAAGGTCTCACTATGTAGCCTTGTGGGTTTTTTGTTGTTGTTGTTTTCTTTTAGCATCCACCTGCCTCTGCCTGTCCAGTGCTGAGGTTAAAGGTGTGTGCTACCGCTGCCTGTCCTGAATTTGTAATTTTGGAAAGACTTGATGTCCTTTGGAGTAAGTGGCAACCAGAAATACAATGGTATACTGTATCCAAAGAGTTAGGCCATGAGAACACCTTCACTGAGGAGCAGGAATATCATTAGTCATGGCAACTGAGAACATTATGATAGGGCCCTGCCTTTAGGAAGCTTCTGAGCCCAGGGAGACAGGTGAGTCTTACACTTGGCTGAGGTATAGGGAATTGATATTTTTGGTTTAGTTTGTTGTGCTTTTCTATTTGAGACAAAGTCTTACTGTGTCACCCAGCCTGGCTTCAACCCATAGTCCAGGATGGCCTCAAGTTTGCCTCAAGAGTTTGGGGTTATGGGCATGTGCAGACTTAAGAGTCTACAAGTCTGTACATGGATGTGCAGGTTATGAAGTAAGTGTAGCCCCAACAAGAAGCCAAAGCAAAGAAATAAGCGGAAAAGGCTGAGTTAATCAGAAGGACTCTTGTTAAGATGGCAGGACACAGCACGTAGCCCCAAGTAATTTTTAGCAACTCAAGTAGCTCCTGTCTCACTATCTCATTCTTTGAAACTTCGGGAAGAGAGAAGACGGGTTCTGTGCCCCATAGAAGAGCTTCTCACTAACATTGTGGAAGTAAAATAGGAGGAAACATAGGGGAGAAGAGGGTGTATGTATGTTCTACACAGAGGGCCATGAATTGACTGACTGGAATGGAACAGGAAAGATGTATTAGGAAATGAATTTGGAGAACCAATCTTACTGGCCTGAACTAGGATTTGAAATTTGGTTTGTTAAGTAGGATAGGGGGCAAAGCAGGATGGGCTAAAAATGATGCTGAAGCCTTTTATAACTTTACTGGGTGGGCCAAGGAAACAGTTATTTAGGGTGCTGCTGTCCTTGCCCAGACTTGAGGCTGTAAGGACTTGCACTAGAGTAAGACCAGGGGAATCCAAAGAAAGGAGGGTTATTTTCAGGGTTAGGCTTGCTGACAGCATGGGTGTGCATGGGGGGCTGGAGTGAGAGGTGGTTTCCAGATAAGAATTCCAGGACACAGTTGAGGTAATGGTGAAAGTTAGGGGAGAGGTGTCAGCTTTCTTTTTAAGAAGCAGGTACTTATTAGCCACATGCAGTGTACCTTTGTCCAGTGCTCGATGGTTGGAGCAGGCCCTGTCTGTGTGCACCCTGCCAAGCCTTTTCCAGGTTAGAAAACCAGACAAAAAAGTCTGTCTCTTGGGTGTAGCAAATACATCAAGAATGCTAGCTCATCCTGGATCTGGGAAAGAAAATAGAGGGGTTTTTTTTTTTTTTTTTTTTGGCTGTTAGTTGGTTTTTGTTTTGGTGTGTGTGTGTGTGTTTCTTTTTTGTCAGTTTCTTCCCCTTTAATGCTTTGAGAATGGGAAATGACTAGCCTGTGGCAATGTGTGCCACAATTCTCTGGCTTGATTCTTGGAAGGCCTTTTTCTGTCCCTCCCTGGGGGTCATTTGTATCTCTGGTTCCTGCTCCCAGAGCCATAAAGTGGGAGCCCCCATTTATTAATTGGGTTGGGACTAGGGAGGGGTTCGGCAGGGGACTCTTTAGTGCAGCAGGCGGGGGTCTTCCCGAATGAGCCCATTAGCCAGCCCCAACGGCAGCTGAATCGGGGCCGCAGCCAAGTCCTCTCCATTTCAAAAACCCTCCATTGCCTGCAGCAGATCAGAACAAGGCCTGCGGGAGCCCTTAGCTTCTGATTGCAGCTGTGAGGAAGGACAAAACAATTTATAGGAAGCCAAGTAGCTCTTGTCGCACTGTCTCTTCCTTTCTGACTTTGGGGAGAAGGAAGTCTGGGATGCTGTGTCCCATCTTACTAAGGCTTCTTACAGATATGTACAGACCTAAAGTAGGAGAAAACAGGAATGTGTGTGTTTTGATATTTATTTGTCTGCTGTGTGTGTATTTATGTGTCCTTTCTTCCCATCTACACACAGTTGTTCAGACTCAAAGCCACTGCTTCTATGAGGTTCCCTAGGGCAAAGTCAAGTGTGGCAATCTGAGGGTGGGAAGAGGCAGTTTCCTATCTGCTTTATCAAGATCAGAGTTAGATCCATTCCTTAACTTCTCTTCTAAGGCTAAAGGGCTTGGCGCTTAATGGAAAAACTCTTAGGATTCATTTGCCCCTTCAGTCAGAGTATACTAGAAAGGCATATATTACAGGGGTCCTGCTTCCTACGGTGGAATAGAGAAGGGTGAGAAACCCAAATATCATGGGGTGGAAGGAACATTTGGTTCTTGCACCTTACAGAATCATAAATTTTTAGAGCTAGAAAATAGGTCATGTAATCCAGCCTCTCTCTTTAGAGCAAGATACTGAAGCTTAAAGAAGGAAAGTGTCTTATCCACAGTAGTCATTCAGTGAGACTGTTGAGCCATCTAAGACTAGCTCCCAGAGGCAGAATACTAACCTACATGAGTTACTTTAAGAAGGAAAAAACTGAGACTCAATAGGGGGAGGACAGAATTTGAGGGAGAAAAGTAGATTTAAAGTTATTAGTACAGAACCATACTATGTATTTCTACCTTCAAGTATACTCTCTTAGTGACCAGGTGTAGTAACATACAACTTTAACCCTCCAGGGATCAGTAGGTGAAGGGAAGCAGATCTTGAGGCCAGCCAGAGCTACTCAGTGAGAGCCTGTCTTAAAGAAGTTAAACTCATTCACAGCCAGTAAGACAGCTCTGCTTGTAAAGGTGCCTTCTGCCAAGCCTAGCAAACTGAGCTTCATCCCTAGGACCGACATGATGGAAGGAGAAAACCAGTTACTACAAGTTGTCCTCTGACCTCCACAAATGCACTGTGGCACAGATACCCCTTACATACACATATAATAAGCAATATGATTTAAAAGAAGCAGTGACATACAAATTTTATAAATATTTTTTTTCATAGAAGGACTCTGATCTGTTGGGGAAAAAGTGGTAGCCACAGCCAAAGATTCTAATGCTCTTATAGTTACCCAAATTTTTAAGGAATCCTTAGCCACAAGCAAGGGGGACTGATAATAGGAAAAGTTGCTCAGAGGCAGTGTGAAAAGCTCATACAAATCTCAGCTTAGGTTCTGTGACATTACAATAAAGTTATGTTGGAAAGAATCAAAATAGAGCTGGGAGAGAGTGTCTCTGAATTGCATATGGAATCGTGGGATTCAAGGGAAAACAGATTACTCCCAGATTCAAGGATATTGGTGGGGACCTTCTGCCTTTCACTTATTTATGGGAAGCGGGAAACAGTATTTGGTGTTCTTGGACTATGCATAAGGAAAAATGTTTCACATTGGTCAGAACCCAAAATAATCTGATCAGATGGTTGGCCTGTGGGACAGGTACTGTAAGTCATCTCATCCTGGAGCTAGGTCTACTGCCCTTTCCTGTGCTTGGCTTTCTCTGGACATAAAACATAGGGAGCCTGTAATAGCAAAAAGGGAAGTGCTGAAGGAAGCAGGGAAACACTAGGCAACTTGGAGATTGTGATTAGGGGATCTGCCAAATGGATATTGTCTGTGGATAACAAAGGATAGATCCCATTATACATTGTTTACAGTTAGTCCATTGCACTATAGTTTACAGAATAGAAGACAAAGACTCTGTTCCTGCCTAGGAAATGCATGATAGACCTACTTGCCCAAATTGCAACAAGTCTGCTCTCCTGAAAACCTTTCTGCTTCATAATTAAGGCCATTTTCTACCTCAGAACTTCTCTTAAAGAAGCTTTGATAGGCCAGCATGGTGGTACACGCCTGTAATCCCAGCACTCAGGGAGGCAGAGGTAGGCAGGTTTCTGTGAGTTTGAGGCCAGCCTGGTCTACAAAACAAGTCTTAGGATACACAGCAAAATTCTGTCTCAAAAAAACAAAAACAAAAAAACAAAACAAAACCAAAGCTTTGATGAACAAGAGAACCTCAATTCCAAACTGGTGATCTGGTTAAATGTGGTTGCCTCCTCCAAGGTAGAATTTTGCATTAAGCTTGTATCAACACTAACGTACATTGCCCTTTATAGTATTTCCATGTTTTACAGCTTCTGTTGAATTTCCTGAAATGTGTCTACATATCAGGGCCATGGTTTTTCACTTATCAGCCTAGGAGCTAGTTTCTTGGAGGTAGATATCTGGAACAGTCAACTCTTTAGATTCATTTGATACTTGGGGAATTCAGGTCTAAGAGAACTGGAGAAACAACAATAATTTACGCTGACCAAAGACCCTCTTTGCTCTCTGGACCCTTGCCTTGTGTCTGATGTAGCCTCTTTTCATTACAGATGGCAGCAGCAGGGATGGCCCCTGAAGAACTCAGGGACATCTATCAGTTACCTCGCATCCAGAGCCTGTCAGTCTCATTCACAAAACTTGAAGCCAGGTAGGGACTTAAAGCTCTTCATGTCAGAAGCCACTGGCCTGATTGCACATGGAGTAGTACCCCATACTTGGTCAGGGAGGTCTTTTTTTTTTTTTTTTTTTTTTTTTTTCCCTTTTTCAAAATGCCCGGAAGGTTTTTTTGAGCTTTTTATTTGGCCCTGTTCTGGTATCCTACCTTTTAGTTAACAAGCTCTCTTCCAGCTAGAATGAGCCCCTCACTAGCAGTAGCAGTTATTTCCTTCTGTGTTAATGGATATGCCTCTACAGTGGAGTACTGGCATTATTACTCAGTTATTTTCAGCCTCCTTTAGGGTGACTTTCTCACTTGCCCACACCCCTTCATACATAAACACCTTTCCCCCAAAAATGCTGTTGTTTTGTTTTGTATTTCTTTAAGTCAAGATAGGACAGTCTTGACTTATACTATCAATACTATCTCTTCTCGTTGCCTCTAACCTCTTACTGCCTTTTTTCTAGGTTCAGTGGAAGGTTCCACATATCCAAACACTGCATGAGACACCAGAAGTAGAGGCCTGCAGGCTGCTTCCTGTCTTTAATACCCAGAGCTGGCACCTCCAGCTTCCTTTCCTGCTGGTAGGTATGCTTATTCACACAACTCACAAATGATGAACTCTGTCTCCTTCTCTCTATCTCTTGTATTTGTTTCTCTCCCTCTCCTGCACCTAGATGAGCTAGGACTACATGACCTACATCTAGCTTCTCAAGGAATATTTTTGTTGAATGTCTCCAAAAAGGGAAGGCATTTGTAACTCAACTCTTTGTCTCAGTATTTCCAAGTCCTAATCTTTAGAGATGCCCTTCTGCTGTACATCAAATGGTAATCTTTTTCTGTTGAGTTCAGAACCATTTCCCTAATTTAGCAGGTATGGGAAGGGACCAATAAACAAATAGACTTTGATACTGATAAAGAATGACCCAGTAACAAATACCGTCTCTTGGAGAGATGGCTCAGAGGTTAAGAACACTGGGTGTTCTTCCAAAGGTTCTGAGTTCAATTTTGAGTAACCACATGGTGGCTCAGAACCATCTATAGTGAAATCTGGTGTCCTCTTCTGGCATACAGGCACATATGCAGGCAGAAAACTGTATAAATAATAAATTCTTTTTTTAAAAAATAGCCTTTTTTTTTTTTTTAAGATTTATGTACACAATGTTCTGTCTGCATGTACACCTGTACGCCAGAAGAGGGAACCAGATCTCATTATAAGGTGAGCCACCATGTGGTTCCTGACAATTGAACTCAGGACCTCTGGAAGAGCAGCCAGTACTCTAAACCTCTGAGTCATCTCTCCAGCCCCCATATCCTCTCTCTTGAAGGCTGAAAGTCTGAAGGCCTAACTGAAAATACCTGGATATTTGAGAGTGTTTATCTAGTGTCTGTTCCTTAGGACTAGCATCTTACCTTTCCCTAACGCTCCACATACCCCAGGGAGTGGGAAAGAAATGGCTCTAGGTTATAGTTAACCACTTGATGTTACTCTTTTAAATATGGTGTCTGCTTTATTTTAAGACCTATGGAGAGTTGTCAGGAGATTAGAGCATCTTCCTGCCTACCGCTTGCTAGAGGTGACACTGCCTTTCTTTTTCTTTTTTCTTTTTTCTTTTTTTTTTCCTGAGACAGGATTTCTCTGTGTAGCCTTAGCTGTCCTAGACTCACTTTGTAGACCAGAGATCTACCTGTCTCTGCCTTCTTGAGTGTTGGGATCAAAATCGTGTGCTACCACACCCAGCTGATACTGCCTTATCCTTTTGGCTCTCTGGCCCCTCTCTGCAGTGCCTCTCTCACTTCTGCAACCTAGACAGCAGAAGCAGCAGACCTCACTATGTCCTGATCTGAGTCAGGTGCTACTTCCCTGAGAGCATGTGTGACAGACTGGGTAAGAGAGATAAAGCAGATGTTAGGAAGCAGGAAATGTCCCGGGAAGGAGTTAGGTAGTACATATGGGTGAAGTTCATTGATGGCTTAGAGAGCACCAACAATTACAACTGCTACTTGTTTGTCAGCCCGTTTACCTGATTCCTCAAAGTAGTCTGGCCAGTGGGACAACTGCAGTGCTAATTTCTACCACATGAGGGCACTGCAGACCAATTAAAACCGAAGCCCTTTAGGAAATGATTTGATGAGGGCACTCTTTCCAGGGATAGGATCAAAAACACTCCCAGAGAGCCTGAGAACAGGGCCCAGAAGCCAGAAAAAATAACTGATACCACTTGTTTTTGTTTTGTCTTGGTTTGGTTTGGTTTGGTTTGGTTTTTTTTGTTTTTTAATGCCCTAAAGCCTAAGCACTTGGCCCTTCAGGCCTGCTGATTGAGTGGGTGCCCACTGAACTTAGACGTTCCAGGTGCTCTTCCTTTAAGGTTTATTTGGTTCCAGCTGTCCCCTTGCCTCCAAGATGTTGTGTTCCAGTTCAGGAGGGTAGGGTTGGTTTGATTTTGGAAGGGAAAACATTTTCTACAAGTATTCAAAGAAAACTGTCTTTGTTGGTGAGAAAGAATTGAGAAACTGGAGACTGAGAAAGTAGGTTACCTCTCCCCCACCCCCAGCCCCAAACACAAACCTACAGAATTCAAGTCTAATAGATCTTTGTGTCTGATTGTGCAAAGCACACCCAAGACTCCAGTGACCTCTGAGCCAAAAAAAAAAAAAAAAAAAGTATCAGAAAACAGCATGACAGGGACTGATATGGCTAAGAGCCTCATGTCTATCCTATGCCATGTCGTGGCTCTGCTGGGCCTGCCAAGTGGTTTGGGGTCCTATGAGACTGAAGACCCCACAGTTTGCCCTCAGTCAAAATGAACAGGCTCAGGGAGCTGACAGGGTCTTCCTCCTTTTCCTCCTTCCCCCATGCCTGAAGGCCCCTCCCCAGGAGGACAGCTTGATTAAACAGTCGGTGCTGCTGGAATTACTGCACAGCTGGTGCTCCCCCCCAGCACCCCGAGCAGAGCAGCAGTGCAGATTAAAATCTCCAATTAGCGTTAAAGTGAAGTGAGGAGGTGCTGAGGCTGCCAAGGCAGCCAGGCCGAAACCCTGAGTTGGCACCCTCTCTGCTTCCTGATTCTGTGTGCCACCCTTAGTCACTCCTTTACTTGCTCCTTTCTAACAGTGGTCAATGTCCATTTGACTTGTGTCACTTCGGGCCAGAGGAAGACATGGGTTGGAGGCAGATGCCTTACCTGGCAAAATGCTGGGACTCCATAAGAACTGGAGAAAATGAGATCAATCAGTGATTCAAGGAGATGCACTGTGCAAATCCTACTAGACAGCCAGGCCATGGTGACATGATGCTACTGCTGCTATCTTTGCTTACAGAAAGAGCCAACAGGACAGGTCCCTGTGAGCCTCAGGTGCTCAGGGACATGGTATCCCCATGAACATCCATCTGTGTGTATTTAATCCTATTAACCCATCTACTCCCACTCAAATTATGGCATCTTCCTTCCTCTCTTCATTTTTCTCTCATCTCTCTTGTAGGCATGGGTAGACCTAGCCAAGCTCTAGAACATTACCATGCCTTGTCACCTGGGTCCCAGCCAGTTGCCCTTTATCTTCCTAGTTTGAGGAATAGCAGAAAGGGGTATAGCAATGACTCAGACCCTTCTTGCCTCTGAATATCTTACCCACTCCAAAGGTCCCTCTGCCATTTACACTGTTGTTCCTCACCTGTCAAACTCAGAAGCAGGGCAGTACAGCTAGGCATACCCTCTGACTACCCTCTGTCCCTTTAAGAGAAATGGAGGTGGATACTCAACTGACTTAACCTACTCACACCTCCAGAAATTAGACACCAGGGCATGGTGCCACCCTCCCAGACTGGCACATGCTACCCTGGCAAAGTTTCAAGTACCCCCCATGTCATACTCCTACCCTATGTCTTCCTCTGCTCTCTTCCTTTCTCCACATCTTTTTTTTTTTTCTCAGCTCAAAGCACAGCTGAGCCTTAAAGGGGGTGGGGTGGAAAGACCAAGCCGGGGCAGGGGGGTGTAGAGCGCCAATAGCACGTTTTCACCTGCCATTTAATTGGATGTATTTTTAATTAATGGGACCTCAGGGACCAACATGAGACAATCTGATCTCTGAATAGGGACAGGGGAGGGATTGGATAAGGGAGGAGGATTGGGCCATTGGGTGCGGTTACCGGGAACCCAGGCCCATCAATCACTGGCCACTTTGCGTTCTGGCATGGAGAATAGCGGGTTGGAGGAGGAGGGGAGGCACTGGGGAAAGGTGCCAGGATTTCCCCCCAACTGCCAGGACCTCCAAAAGAGATGGAATTGTGCTGATTGACTCAGGTCTGCAGCCTAAATACGCAGCCAGAATAGTAGGTAAGGCTGTTTTCTTTCTCCTGCAGTTCTGTCTAGATGGGCTGATCTCAGAGAGTGTAAGGTTATGAAAGGGAAATGGGGAAGAACTTTGAAGTCCCTGAAGAGACAGGATAAGAGCTAGTGACATGGACATGGGACTGTGGGAAAGAGGATTTGAAAAAGACAGTGTTTGGGGTCATTTCTATACATTTCTGTGGGAAATAAGTACCATAGAGGTTACATGCAAAATGGCACGCAAATGAAAGCTGGTGACTTTGGGTCTGAATCTTAGAACCTTACTGTTGCAAAGAAGGGAACTTGGAGCTCATTTTGCCTGACCCCTTCATTATTTAGATGTGGAAGCCAAGACCCAGAGAGGAGGAACGAGTTGAATCCATCCCTGAAGTTGCTTTATGTTCTGGATTTGAGAGTTCCTGGGATCACGGGGCAAGAGAGGTAGGTAGGGAAGGAGGGAAGAAAGTGAAGTGAAAAGCATAAGCAGGATGTTCTGTCCGCTGCCTGAAGTCGCACGTCACTGTCTTGCTGAGTGTTGGAAACAGTTTAGGAAAGCCCAGCAGGCACATGCTATAAGAGATGCGATAGGGAACATCCCCTATCCGTTCCGTTCCTCCCACCTCTTTGTAGAGTTTGCCATGTCTTTTAAGGCCTAAGGGAAGGAAATGCCCCAGCTTCCTCAATTATTTAACCAAAAGGCAAATCTCTCAAGTAAGACTACATTTTTTTGTTTGTTTGATTTGAGACAGGGTTTCTCTGTGTAGCCTTGATTGTCCTGAACCTACTTTGTAGACCATTCTGGCCTCAATTTCACAGAGATTTGCCTGCCTCTGCTTCCACAGATGCTGGGATTACAGGTTTGACCACTGAGCCCAGCAAGACTAAATTTTTTTAAAAGAAAATCTTACCATAACAAGTTTCTGTGCTGTAATATAAGCAATTAGAAACAGTTTTGCCAAAATGTCAATAGTAATTTACACCTCTTGTGCACGACTATGATAGAGCCAGTGTTCAAATGCAAGGCTCTGCAAAATAGAAATGTCCCTCAGTTCACGTAGTACCCTCGGTCCCTTCTGGCGCTTGCATTGACGGCTTAGCCTGTAAAACAGGGCACGTTGCCAGCTGTCTATATCTCCATTCCCTAACTTTCTTTGTTGCTCATATGCTAGGGCCAGGAAGAGAAGGGTGAATGAAGGTAATGGAGGGATTTCCTACTAGATTGTCAAAAGTGTCATTTCTCAGCATTCTCCTCTTTTCTCAAAATCTTCAACATTCTTTTATCTGTGCTTCATGAGGCTAAACTGAGGTGGAGGCAGGATAGGATGCAAGGTTTGAAGGCAATACCGATAGAATTGACCACACTTTCCAACTCTTATCCTTACCTTCCTTCCACCCTTAGAACTGTCTTTTACCTTAGTAACCTGTTTTTACCTCCAGGCCCTTGAGAAAAGCAGGATCCGCCTCTGCAGCTTCCAGCCATATCTTGATCTGCCTTAGACTGTCAGGGGCTGTCACAGTCTGTTTCTCGCATACGGGGTGAGAGGCTCTCGTATCCCCTAGGATAGTCTGGAAAAAGTCCTTCTAGGCCCTTTCCTGCTTCCAAGGGCCTTAGGACTGTCACTATCAGGACACTGTACCAAAAGCTTTCCTGTCAGGGAGATGAGGAAGAAGAGAAGTATTGACATTTTAGAACTGAGACCTGTAGTTACACCTGTGGGACTAGCTGCTCAGTATAGTCCAGGACAGCCATAGTGAATATCGTTTGGGAATGGTGGCTACTGTGCACAGAGCGAAGGAAGGAAGGTAGTTTCTTTCTATATACAAGCCTGCTCCTTTTTGTTCTTGGTAATCGGTTCATCCCTGCTCCAGTGTATTGGAGGCATAAGGAAGCATTCACTCGACATTGTAGATACTCTCTGAGGAATAGCGTTGCTTTCCCTCCCGAGCAAATCCCGGAGTGCCAGATCTATAACCTTAAGTTCAAGTCTAGAGTCTGCTCTGAAGTCCAAAAGAAATTCAAGACTCTTTGTAGGAAAATACTTAGATATGAAGTACATACAGCGGGACGAGATAGCAGTAACCAGAATTCTTTGCCTTCTGGGAGTAAGTCAGCATTGGCCTAGCATTTTATTCTAATGGGGCCCTTTTTTCCTTTTCTCTTCAGTTTTCCCATGGGTTGAGGGTAGATCTGGAAATCTGAACCTCTCACATTGATACTTAGAAAGCAGTTGTGCAGATCTTCCTGCATCTTCCAAAGCCTTAAGCAGAAAGGAAAGCAGAGAAAGACATTGACAGAGGTAGCAATGCCATGGAGTCTACTGGCCCCCTCAAAAGAAAACAGGCCAGAGATGAAACCAAGGGATGTCTAATTTTGAACATTATTTATACCCCATATTCTTCCTTTTACATGCTTATGGCTATATGCCCAAGTGTGCCAGCTCGCCTGGCTGGTGGTCCTGTTCCACTGTGCAGGCAGCCTGCTTTCTGCCCCAGCACAGAGCATATGCTAGGGTCTCTCTTGCTCACTCATCTCTGTGTCTGTGTTACAGATTCCTAGGGATGAAATAGAGTGCTATGGTCCTATGGTAGGAGATTGGTGGGCACTGGGGTTCACTGGGTACATATTTGCCTGTCTGTGAGATGGGGAGGAAAAAGGCTGCTGGCGTTCAGCAGAGCTTGAGGTTCTGGTGACTCACAGCAATGGGGGTGGTTCATGAAAACAACAGAGGGGAAGGGGGATCAAGTCTGTTAGTTTTCTTTTGCCCCAGTCCTGCCCACTCTGAGCTCTGTAGATGAAAAATCTCTCATCTAGATTAGGAAATGCCCCAACTATGAAAAGAAAGGGAGAGATGGGAAAGAAATGAGCAGGAGTAGCTGAATTTTCCCAGTGAGGCGTCTTACAAATAAAGATTGAGCCATTGCCCTACTATCTCTATAGGCTACACAGAGAATGTTACACACCCATTTGGGGCAGGCAACTCAGGAATCCTGGGCACCTTCCAAAAGAGAAGTTTTCCTGATAAACAACTGGTACTGTTATGCCTCGGTTGCCTGCCTAGTGCTCTAACAGAAAAGTTTTCAGGGTGGGGGTGGTTGCTGAGTCAGAATCTCATTGTGTAGCCCCAGCTGGCCTCCACGTCCCAATCCTCTTGCCTCATCTTTCAAAGTGCTGGAAGTATAAGCTTGTACTACCATATCTAGTGTCAGAAATTTCTTTTTTGAATATTATTTCATGTATTTGTGTTTTGCTTGCATGTATGTCTATGCTTACTGTACTGTGGAGACCAGAGGGAACAACAGATCCCCTGAAACTGGAGTTACAGGTGGTAGTGAGCTGCCATGTGGGTGCTGGAAACTGAACCTGGGTCTCTGCAAGAGCAGCCAGTGCTCTTAACCACTGAGCCATCTCTCCATTGCCAATATAAATTTAATAAGAAAAAACAAAAACAAGACAAATACTAGTATAAGACCAGAACCAAGAAAGATTGTGCTTAGTGTACTCCTTACTAGAATCAGGCACCTTGGACCAAAGAGGTGCAGCTACAGACATTTAAACTGCTAAACAGGATATTGGTGTAAGTTGGGAAATGGTTGTAGTCACGGACATTCAGAAGTACTGCTGTTCTTCTCTCTCAGACATCAGGTGGGCAATATGTATCTCCCATCGCAGTTGGTGTCTGGAACTGGCAAAGAGAGAGAACAATAGGGACTTTGGATACTAGTATATCTAGGCACATGATAATAAACACCCTGACTTTTGGGCAGGTGTTCGATGTTAGATCGTGAGTTCTTGTTTGTCTATTTCTGTTCTTTTTATTGCTGGCTTGAAGCTTAGCTTTCTAACCAGAGCAAGGGTCCTGTATCCATCACTCCTGGTGATCTAGAGATGGCTTTGTTGAAGAAAGACAGATTGACTGTTGTTGTTGGTGGTGGTGGTGGTGGTGGTGGTGGTTGGTTGGTTGGTTTGGTTTTTTGATACAGGGTTTCTCTGTGTAGTAACCCTTGGCTGTCCTGGACTCACTTTGTAGACCGGGCTGGCCTCCAACTCACAGAGATCCACCTGCCTCTGCCTCCTAGAGCGCTGGGATTACAGGTGTGCGCCATGGTGCACAGCTATAGATGAACTGTTCTTCATTCAGGAAGATAGGATCAGTTTTTCTCTTCCTCCTTCCTGGCAGTATAAGGAGCTTTGGGACCCTTACTGAAAAGCTTAGTTCTGAACTAAACCAACACTAAGAATGCTTAGCCTTGGTTATAAAACTTGTATTATAAGGGAAGCCTAGATATTCAGTGAGGTTGTAGGCAGGTATGGGGACTCTAGCCCCAAGAGAGATAACACATTCTTCATTCTTAATCTTCTTCCTTCTTAAATTTCTTTCTCTGCTCCCTTTTCTTTCATTTCCCACTGGTCAGCTCAATTTTTGGCCACCTGATTACCAGTCTGACCAGACATGTTAAGTAATTATCTTTCCCTACATTCTCCCTCTCTCTCATTCTCTCCCTCCCCCCTCTCTTCCTGTCTTCCCAGCTCAGAGATATCTGAATTTGAATTGTTTCTACCACTGAACATCGAAGACCTGAATTGTATTCTTAGCCTCCGCTGCCCAACCTGACTCCACAAATGAGTGCCTTTGAGTTGGGAAGCATGCATTAGCTTCATCCTTCCCCGCAAGTACACCAGGCCTGGACCGCTATGTCTATGGCATCAAGGACCCTGCTCTGGAGCAGAGGTAGCCCTAGAGGTGCAACTGGGCCTTGGCCCTAAGTGTGTGTATGCCTGTGCATTGGGCACACTGGTTTATTAGTGTTATTTCAGCATTGTGATGCAGAGAGAGTAAGTGTAACAGCTGCTCCTTGCTTGCAGTGTTTATTGTTACCTAGAGACAACCTCCTGGCTTTTTCCCAGATTCCCCCCAGCCCAGCCCCCTCCCTGCCAACAATCCTGTTCTCTCCACACTGATGGGAAATTTATAGCTTGCCCATATCATGCCATTAACTCTATCCTGTCCATAGGGTAGATGGGTCAAGGGAAACCAAAGTGAAATGTGGACATGCTTTGGACCCCAAGTGGAGTAATGTATGAAGACAGAGGAAGGAACAAGACATGTTCTTGTGTTCTGTGTCCAATCTTTGGCCTTAGTTGTTCTGCAATCCAAATACTAGCTAGGCCTGATCCTGCTTAGTTTCTGAGATCAGGTGAGGTCAGTGATATGGCCGTAGACCCAGTTGTCCTTCTGCCTCTTGTATGAGGAGAAAAGAAGAAAGAGTTTTGGATCTGGCCTTGAGGTCCCAGAAGAGCTCCTCTGGACCTAGCTTTAGGATCTTGATATCCTCCTGCCAAAATTGTCCTTTTCCCCAGACATCTCTGTAGTCCTTCATTGAATTGTCTAACTTGCTCAATCCAGCAAAGTAATATCGGAATGGAAGGGGAGAAGTGTGGTAAAACCTATAGCCCTTCCTTCTTGTCTGAGCAAGGTAACTGTAGATGTCACATGGAGAGAAAAGCTACTAGCTTGGGAGATACTGACCAGAGCACCACAGTGGGGTTGATGTTCGACTTGAAGCCTGCTGCTGAGCCTGTTGAAAAAACCTTCACTTGCTAAGGTCCCAAGAGATTCTAGGTATTCTCCCAGCTGGCCTTCTTGATTTGGTTGGGGTTCTCCTTTCTGCTTTCCTTTTGTGGTTCATTTTCTCCCGCATTCCTCTTGGTTTCATAACATGGGTTAGATTCAAGTGACTGAAGAGAGACAAACATCCTAGTAATAATCTCAGCAGAGCTAGGGAGAGGAAACACCCCCCTCTTCCACCACTATCTCCTTAGGACTTTTCGTGGAGGAGAGCTGGGTACCTATCATCATCTACATGGAAATGGAAGAGAGAAAAAGGGATTGGATTTTAGCAGAAAGGGTTGAGTTAAACATGAAAAAATTTACTCATAGAATGAAATTTTTTCTTCAGATCAGTCCTTCTGCCTGTGATGAATTTAAGTCTTGTGCCTACCCAGGGAACATTGGGTAAACATGGTTCTTTTCCAGAACTCCTCCACATAGCCCCAGCACAATTTCCACACAGTGCAGTACTAGAGACTTTGAAAAATAGTTTTTATGGTGGTTAGATCACAAGTTTCAGAGGCATTCCTGCTTTCTGGTGCCGGCTCCACTACTTACCTGATACTCCAAGCTATGCATTTCCTGGTCTGAAATGCAAGTAAGACAACAATCCTAGCTGGGCACAGAGGTACAATGCCTATAGTCCCAGTACTCCAAGAGGCAGAGGCACGCGGATCTCTGTAAGTTTGAGGCCAGTCTGTTCTACAAACAAATAAAAAAGACAGTAATTACAACAATTCTTTGAGAAGCCTTCATTCTTGGGCATGTCTTACTTTTTCATCAAGGTTCCCTTGTTTTAACTCTAGTGCTTAAAATCTACATTAAAATCTCTAGCTCTGCTGTTTCAAGACAAATTTTTAAAAATGCAAATTAAACTACTATTCCTCAAGAGTGTGAGAATTTTGTCAAAGAATATGTGAGGCCTGGCCCTCAAGTGGTCTCAGTCGACAGTCATTAATGCAGAAGTGTACTGTTGGGTTTTTGCTTATTTTTATGTGTATGGACATTTCACTTGCTTGTCTGTCTGTGTACCATGTCTGTACCTGGTGCCCACAGAGGTCAAAAACTGTGATCAATTACAGATGGTTATAAGATACCGTATAGATGCTGGAAGTTAACCTGGGTCCTCTGCAAGAATGGCAAGTGCTCCTAACCACTAAGCCATCTCTCCAGACCCAAATTCTGTTGATTTTATGACCAGAAGACCTGACATTGCTTCAAAGATTCCATGATTCCCTGAAGATTATTTTTCTGTTGTGTCTGTGTATCCAAGCTTGGGAGATTGTCCAGACGTTTTTTCATGATGTGAAGGGTGGCAGTCCCCTAGAAGAGGAAGTAGCCACAGTTTCTTTTCAGACTCCGTAAGAAATCGGTTCTCCAGTTTGTACCTCTCTAACCAAGAGCAAAGCCACTGTTCCGGAGCACATTAGTCACTGTTTGCTTGAAAGTGTAGCTTCATCCAGGGTAGATCTGAGAGCCAGAGCCATTGGGAAGTATAGCAACTAGCACTTACAAGGCATTAATGTATATTATCCTACGGTACACCAAGCATAGTGCTGTTTGTACATATTTCTGAAGTATTGTATTACCTAGAAATACTGAAGTATAGGGCTCATTTTCTATTTGTTTTAAAGATTGATTTGTTTTATGTGTATGTTTTGTGATTTGTCTTATGTTTTCTTGTATGTCTGGTACCCACAGGGGCCAGAAGAAGGTGTTAGATTATCTGAAACTCAAGTTACATTGGTTGTGAGCTGCCATGTAGGTGCTAGGAAACAAACCTGGGACTTCTGTTTGGTGGTGTTGTTGTTCTGTTGTTGTTTGGTTTGGGAATTGTAAGAGGGATTTGGTTGGTTGGTTTGGTTTTGATTTTGGTCTTTTCAGACAGGGTTTCTCTGTGTAGCCCTGGCTTTTCTGTAACTCACTCTGTAGGCCAGGCTGTGCTCACACTGAGAGATTTGCCTGCTTCTGCCTCCTGAGTGGAATGAAAGTCTTGCACCATTCATGGATTTAATTCTTAAATCTTTCAGATTGAAGAGATGACTTTGTTAGGAGTACTTACTACCAAAATGTTTTGACTGCGTGTGTGTGTGTGTGTGTGTGTGTGTGTGTGTGTGTGTGTGTGAATACCAAGTGTGTTCCAGGTCCCCCTAGAGGCCAGAAGAGGTCATTGGATCACCTAGAACTGGAGTTTGATATAGTTGTAAGCTGCCATGTGGGTGCTGGGAACTGAACCTGGGTCTTTTTTGAGAGTAGCAAGTGTTTAACTGCCAGACCATCTCTCTATCCCTCATGCTCTTTTCATGATCTTTTTTTTTAATTAAATTTTTATTTTTTATATTAATTACAGTTTGTTTACTTTGCATTCCAGCTGTGGCCCCCTTCTTCATTCCCTCCCAATCCGACATGATCTTTTTCTTTTCCTTAGCTGTAGATCAAAGCAGGATCTTGCATAGCACATGCAAGTATTCTACTTCTGAGCTACGTGCCTGGCACTCTGCAACTTTTCACTTTTGTTTTCGATTCTGTTTTTTTGAGATAGGGTCTCATGTAGTTGGGTGACCTTGAACTTTTTGGTGGTGGGAGACATGTGCATGTCTGGGTACATGTGGAAATTAGAGGAAGCTTGGGCTCTCTTCTTCTACCATGTGGGTTTCAGAGATTGAACTAAGGTCCTTGGGCTTGGCAGCAAGCACCTTTACCAGCTGACATCTTATAGTGCCTCTCCCCCTCCTTTCTTTTTCTTTTTCTTCTTCTTTTTCTTTTTTTTTTTTTTTCTTTTTTTTTTTTTTTTAATTTTCAAGCCAGGGTTTCTCTATGTAGCCTTGGCTCTCCTGGACTCACTTTGTAGACCAGGCTGCCCTTGAACTCACAGTGATCTGCCTGCCTCTTTCCTCTTTTGTGACACAGGGTTTCAAGCATCCCAGGCTGGCTTCAAACTCACTATAGTCCAAGAAGACCTTGAATTTGTAATTCTCCCTCTACTTCCTGAATGTTGCGGTTACTTGTGTGAGCATCTTTTAAAATTATGTTTTATTTATCTGCGTGTGCAAGCACATGCCGCTGAGTGCATATTTTGGGGGAATTAGTTGTCTCCTTTCACCCTGTAGCTTTGGGAATGGAACTCAGGTTGTTAGGCTTTGGAGGCAAGTGCCTTTATTCACTGAGAGAGATGGCCTAGAGCCAGAAGAGAGCATTGCATCTTTCAGAGCTAGAATTACAGGTAGTTGGAGCTACCCAATGTGGGTGCTGGCAGCTGAACTTAGATTCTGTAGAAGAGCAGCAAGCAATCTACTGAGCCATCTCTCCAGCCCTGTTCATTTATTTATTTTTAATTTATTTTCTTTTATTATTTTATGTGTACAGGTGTTTTTCCTGAATGTATGTCTGCACACTACTTGGGTGCTTGGTGCCGGTGGAGGCCAGAAGAGGGCAGGGACCCCAGAAGAGGCCACGGATCCCAGAAGAGAGCATTGATCCCCTGGAACTGGAATTATAGATGGTTGTAATTTGCCAAGTGGGTGCTGGGAATCCAACCCAAGTCCTCTAGAAATGCAACCAGTTCTCCGAACCACTGAGAAATCTCTCCAGTCCCCTATTTATTTTATAATTATGTGTATACATCTGTGTCTGCTTGAGTGCAGTTGCCTGCAGAGGTCAGAAGACCCCAGGATACCCCGGAGCTGGTGTTATAAGCAATGTCAGCCACCTGACATGGGTGCTAGGAACCAAACCCAGATCTTCAGCAAGAACAAGTGCTCTTAACCACTGATCCATCTCGTCAGCCCTCATCCTGTGCATTTTTAATAGTAGAATTATTAGACCAACAGATACAAATATCCATTCCCCATTGTTATGATTATTTTACTGATAGATTCTAATGAGAATAATATTTAATATTAATCTTACTCTTTGTAATGAGAATATTTCTTACGCTTTCTGCGTGTGTATGTTTTGAGACAGGGTCTCTCTATGAGTCCTTGCTGTCCTGGAACTTACTATGCATGCTGGCCTCTAGCTCACAGAGTTCTTCCTGCCTTTGCTTCCCACATGCTGAAATTAAAGGCATACACCAACATGCTTGGCCTTAATCTTCTTTTTTTGAATTCTACGGTGGAGACGAAAGGGCAAGGCACTGTAGAGAGGTTCTTTATTGTAGTTGATAGGTTGCTTCTTCTTTCCTTCCTTTCTTTTTCTCTTCCTTTGTTTTGCCTTTGTTTGTTTATTTATTTATTGTTTTTTTCAAGACCGGGTTTCTCTGTAGTCTTGGCTGTCCTGGAACTTGCTCTGTAGACCAGGCTGGCCTTGAACTCAAAAGTCTGTCTGCCTCTTTGCCTCACATGATCCTTTGTTGAGACAAGCTCTCCTGTAGACCTGGCTATCTCAGACCTGTTACGCAAGTGAAGATGATATTGAACTTTTGATCCTCCTGCCTCTACCTCCTAAGTACTGAAGTTAGAGATGTGTTTTACCATATCTTGCTTTTTTAGATTTTTAAGTGAAATAATTGTAGATTGACTTTCAATTGAAGAAATAATACCAAGATCTGGGTATAATGGTTCGTTCTTGTAATCCCAGCACTCAAGAGGCTAAAACAAGAGAATTACCTAAATTTGAGACCAGTTTGACCTACCGAATGAGTTACAGCCAGCCAGGGGTAAAGTGAAACCCTGCCATTACAAAAAACAAAGTAAAAGAAAACAGGCTGGGTGTGGTGGTGCACCTTTTCAGTCACAACATTCAGGAGGATTTTATGAGTTTGAGGCCACTCTAGTGTACATGGTTCTAAGCTAGTCATAGCTATGTAGTGAAACCCTGTCTCTAAAAAAGGGGCTGGGGCTGGGGAAATGATTCACTGAGCAGATGTGTCTCCATATAACCATGAGGGCCTGAGTTCACATCTTCCACAGACACATTTTTAATCCCAGCTCTAGGGGGTAGAGTAGAAACCGGTGGGTCCCAGAATTGCTGAGCAGCCATCCTGACCAATTGATGGTTCTTTCGTTCAGTGAGTAATCCTGTGTCAAAAAATAAGGTGAAGAGTAATAGAGTAAGATACTCATCAACCTCTAGGATCTACATGCATGATCACGTGTGTACCCACAGAGATAGATATTTGTGTGTGTATACATGCATATGTACATACACATACATACATACAAAAACAAGAGGCCCCTGAATGATACTACTTTGTAAAACTGTAATAAAATATAATCTAGAATATTGATATTGATGGAGTCTATTAATCTTGCAAAGATTTCTTTCATTTTCAGTTGTTTGTGCATATGGAAGTGTGTTGAGGTGGGGTGTATAGCATGCATATGAAGTTCAGAGAATAACTTATGGAAATTGATTTTCTCCTTCTACCATGTGGGTCCTGGTGATGGAGCTCAGGTTGTCAGACTTGGTGGCAAAGAAACTTGACTTGCTGGGCTATGTTGCTAACTCTTAAGATATCTGTAGTTTTACTAACCACGTGCATGTTGGTGGATGTGAATATAGTTTTATTTCCTGTGTTACATTTGTATACCCACGTCTACAGTGAAACTGCTTCCCTAACATGCGCAAGGCTCTGGGTTTAGTCTCCAGTACTCACAGGAAGGAAGGGAAGGGAAGAATGGAAAAAAAGGATGCTTTGTAGTTCTATCACCACAGGATTCCCTGTGAGTTTTTAAAAATTACACCTATCTCCCATTTTTTTTCAAATTGTATGTGTAATATGAAGTCAGTTTTCTTTTTTATCTTTATATGATTTCCAGGGATCAAGCTCAGATCATCATCTTGTTAGTCAGCAAGAGCCTTTATCTACTGAACCATCTTACCAGCCCATCTACCTATGTCTTAATTCTTGGTTCCATTAACATTCTCTCTTCTAAAACTTTACCACTTCAAAGATGGAACTAAAGAGACTGTAACATATTAGGTTTGGCTTTTTTCATGCAGCATAATTCCTGGATACCCATCCAAATTTTTGTGTGTACCAATGTTTATCCCTTTTATTTAGTCCATGGTGTCGATAGACCATCACTACTTTAATTTATTCCGTTCTACTCTAATCCAGTCAGTTTTTGAGACGTTTTCATATATCCCACTTTGTCCTTGAACTTCATATATATATATATATATATATATATATATATATATATATATATATAACCAGGGGTGACCTTGGACTTCTTAGTGATGGGATTACAGATGTGCACCCCCACATCTTGTTTATACCATTGTTAATTTATCTATTCATCTGTTGATAAACATCTGGGCTAATTCTACTTTTTGGGCTACAAATAAGCTTCTTCAACATTTGAGTCCATGTTTTTCACTGAACATATCTATCTATCTATCTATCTATATATATATTTTTTTTTTGAGATAAGGTCTGTCTCACTATGTAGTTTTGGCTGGCTTAGAACTTTCTATGTACATCAAGCTGGACTTGAACTCATAGAGATCCTCTGCCTCCAAGTGCTGAAATCAAAAGATTTATACCACTACGCCCAGTAAACAAACGTTTTTAACATTACTAAGTTTTACCCACTATCAATGAATGAAATGGCCCATTTCTTCTGGTGGAATATTTTATAGTCATAATTATTAAACTTCCTAACCCTTTGGGCATGACATTAATATCTTAATTTTTCAAGTGAAGAAACTTGAGGCCCATAGTCATTTTCCCAAGATCTCATCCTGTTAAGTGGCAAAGAAATTGGATTCCAGGATACTACCACAGCAGACATTCTCAGACTGGAATTCTCTCTAATTCTCACTTAACTAAGGTTTCTTGGAAGAGTATGGACAGTACTGGCAGAGAGAGAGAGGTTGAAGATAAGGATATTCTTGGAGTAATTTGAGTCCAATTTGTACAACCTTGGTTTGTAGATTGAGAGAGCAGTTGTGCTACAGAGTGAAGACACATGACATATACCCTTGACATTATTTCCCCTTTAGCAAAAGGTGAAATAAATGTAGTCCTTGAGCAATGTCCTTATAGACCTGGGACCTGAAATGGGATAGGAAGATCTAGCCTTTGAATTCCTGTCAAAGGCATCCTCAGAAATAGGGAGTTGAATGTATCTCTGCAACCTGAGAGAGTGGAGGCCCATAGCAAGTGAGCTCAATTCTATAGGGGTAGCACTTAATCATTGCTTTTAATGACAAGGGAACTATAGTTCCTTTATACACATGCATACTTTCTGTGGTCACTGTGGCAAGGGGACAAGCAAAAATGCCAGTCTATCTCATAGTGTTGACTTTTCTTCTAATATCACGGATATCTAGAGAAGCTGGATTCTCTAGGCACAGGTAGAAGATGGCAAATGGAAACCTATGATGGCTAGAAAAGATGCCAACTTTTGGCTGGGCGTGGTGACACATGACTTTAATCCCAGCACTCGGGAGGCAGAGGCAGGCAGATTTCTGAGTTTGAGTCCAGCCTCGTCTTCACAGTGAGTTCCAG